TTAGTTAGATTAAATTTTCTAACTGCAACTGAATAGTTCTACACATCGCCTGACTACTTGACTAATACATATATTTAACATAGCTGGTACTTCCATGTCACACCAGTATTTCTGAAAATACTACAGATTTATGTGTCATCTTTGTGCAGGGGCCATGCTATTCTCTGTCTTTCAGTTTTAGTATATGTGCTGCCTAAGCAAATGCTGGTTTCTTTATTTATTTATTTTTAATTTTTGTGTGAGTGTACCGTCAAATCAGATCTGACTGGTGCAGGAGGAGATTGTCCCTCCTTTTCCCAGCAGAGCATCTGGTGGATTCGAACCATGTGCCTCTGGGATTGTAGTTGCAGCTCCTTGCCACTAGGCCACCAGAGCTCCCCTTGGTTTCTTTATTTTTTTAAGTAAAATTTTTACTTTATACTTGTTTACTTACAAAGTTTGTATACATTGTTTTTCACACTGGATCTTTCCCATTTCCTTTACCCACCCCTCCCTCTACCCATCACATTATACAACCCTATGATTAAGCGTTCCTCCTCACCCCTCTGCTTCCCCCCGCTTGGATCATAATATACATTCTATAATAATGGTCTTACACAGTATTTGTCCTTATGGGACTGGGTTAGTTCATTTAGCATAATGCTCTCCATTCCCAAGTTAGGTGGCTATGTGCCATCAAGTTGCTTGTGACTCACTGCAACCTTATGTATAACAGCCCTAAACCCTGCTCTATCCCTTGCCAATCTTATTGTCTCTGAAACACCTACCCCCATTACCCTAGTCACTGAATCAGTCCATCTCATCAAGGATCTTCCTCTCCTGCACCGTCTCTCCACCCTCCCAAGCATGACGGTCCTCTCCAAGGACTGATCCCTCCTTGCGAACATGTCCAAAGTATGTCAGATGAAGCTTCAGAATTCTTGCCTCCAAGGTGCAGCCTGGTTTCACCTTCTCCAGGACAAACTTGTTTGTTCTCCTAGTAGTCCATAGTATATTCAATACTCTTCTCCAGCACCACAGCTCAAAGGCATCAATTTTCCTTCTGTCATCCCTAGTTATTGTCCACCATTCTGATGCATAGCAAGTAATTGCAAACACCATGGCATGTATCAGGCACACCTTAGTCTCCACACTGACATCGTTGCTTTTCAGTACTTCCTGAGTGTTGCATAATATTCCATCGTGTGAATGTACCATAATTTCTAAATCAATTTTATTGTGGTTGGACAATGGGCTGTTTCCTTGTTCTTTAGATGATGAATAATGCTGCTATGAACATTGATGTACAAGTCTCCGATTGTGCCTCAGTTCTCATTTTCTTGAGGTATATTCCAGGCAGTGGAATAGCTGAGTCATAGGGAATTTTTATGTTCTGCCTTCCAGAGTGGTTATACCATTCTACAGTCTCACCACATCCTCTCCAAGATTTTTATTCATTGCTGTTCTGTTACACTTTGCCCCAGCTTCTAGAGTGAGATGTTATTTCATTGTGGTTTTGATTTGCATCTCCCTTTCTGCCAGTGATTTTAAGTATTACTTTGTGTCTGTTGGCCATCTGAATATATTCCTCTGTGAAAAGTCTTTCCATGTCTTCTGCCCATTTTGTAATTGTGTTACAAGTCTTTTTCTTGTGGAGGCCCTGTAGGATTCTGTAAACTTTTTATATGGGTCCCCTTGTCTGAAATGGTATTGCCAAATGTTTTTCCCAGTCAGTAGGTTTTCTTTTCACTCTGTTCGAAAACGTTTTTGATGCATACAGGGATTTAATCTTTAGAAGGTCCCATTCATCAATTTTATCCTCTCCAGATAGTGCATTTCTGGCTGGATTTGGCAGTCTCTTTATACCATAGACTAGGCCATTTAAGTTTGATCACAGTTTATCTCTGATGAACTTTATGGTTGTGGTCTTTACTCCCAGGTCTCTGATCCACCTTAAGTTGATTTTTGTGTATGGTGTGAGATGTGGATCGTATTTCAGTTTTCTACAGGTTTCTGCAGAAGCCAAGTTTTGCCAGAACCATTTGTTGAAGAGGTTGTCATTTGATAAGTTTTATTTCCTTGTCAGTTATCCGTTGACCATAGGTATAGATGGCTAGGTCTATTTCTCGGTTCTCATGTGGTTTCTTTTTGAAGTCATTAACTCTTTGATCAGTTTTGGTAAAAGAAGGGACGTGGAGAGCTATCTTTACTTCCGGTTTGTATCAAGAGTTTCTCAAAGCTGAAAGCAGAGAGTACCAGAAAGATGTTTGTGTTTTATTAACTCTATGAAGGCATTTGACTGGAGATCATAACAAATTATTATTGCTAACATAGAGAATGAGAATCCTAGAATACTTAATTGTGCTCATTCAAAGCTTCTATGTAGACCAAAAAGCTGTTGTCTGAACAGAACATCAGGATTATGTTCTAGGGTTGTATGTATGAGGGTTGTGGGTGTTTTCCTCCATACTTACTCTGTATGCTCAGCAAATCATTTGAGAAGCTGGACTGTGAAGAGAAATGTTGTATCAAGATTGAAGGAAAGACTCATCAGCACCCTACATTATGCAGATGACACAACTTTGCTTGCTGAAAGTGAAGAGAACTTGAAATGCATGCTGCAGAAGATCAAAGATTACAAATGTGGATTACATTTCAATATCAAGAAAACAAAACTTATCACCACTTGACCAGTAGGCAGCATCACGATAAATAAATAAAAATATATAGTCGCTAATGATTTTATTTACTTGGGTCTATAATCAACACACATAGTAACAGTAGTCAAGAAGTCAAAAGAGTAAGAATTGTGACAGAAGGAGTTGTATTGGAGAAGAGTACTGAATATCCCACGGACTGCCAAAAGAACAAACAAGTCTGTCCTGGAGGAAGTGCAACTAGGGTGTTCTTTAGAAGCAAGGATGATGAAACTCAATCTCACATACTTTAGGACATGTTGCAAGGAGGGACCAATTCTTGGGGAAAGACCTCATGCTGGGAAAGGAAAAAGGAAGACCCTCCTCAAGGTGGATTGATACAGTGGCTGGAAAAGTGGGCTTGAACATTCATTTTCTATATTTAGTGACATTGACTATATTTTTCAAATTGTATAGCTATTCTCACCTTATTCTGAGTTTATTCTTCCCCACTGACAGAAACTCACTGCCCTTTAAAGTTCGTACATAATTTTTTAAGTTACTACAGCTCTTAAATGGACAGTCTCCTCCCTTGCGATTGGCTGTAGTCTCTCAAAACCCATAAGACAGTCAACAGTGAGTCTTTCTATTTGACAGCACATAGCAATGGCATAATTCTTAAAAGAGCATAAAACTGAAGACATTCTTTACTAATTAAGTAAAATGCTTTATATCTGTGTGAAAGTTGGACAATGAATAATGAAGACCTAAGAAGAATGGATACCTTTGAATTGTGTTTGTGAAGAGTATTGCGTATACAGTGGACTGCCAAAGAACAAGAACTATCTTGGAAAAAGTGCAACCAGGGTATTTCTTAAAAGCAAGGATGTTAAAACTTAAGCTCATGTACTTAGAGCATATTGTTAGGAGGGAGCAGTCTTTGGAAAAGGTGCTAGAAAAGGTAGAAGTTCGGCAAAATGAAGAAGACCTTCACTGAGTTGGATCAATGGAGAATGAGGGCCTTGAGCATGGTAGATATCGTAAACATTGTATAGTATTGGGCAGGGTTTCAATATTCTGTTCATAAATTCATTATGAACCATAGTTGACTCCATGGAACCTAACAACGATTGTTGTTATGTGCCATCGAATTGCCTGCAACTCATAGCGACCCTATGCACAACAGCCCTAAATCCTGCTGTGTCCCACGCCAATATTGTCTCCAGCATACCTATCCCCATTACCCAAGTCACTGAATCAGTCCACCTCATTGAGGGTTTTCCTCTCCTGCACTGTCCCTCCAGCCTCCCAAAGCATGATGTCTTTCTCCAGGGACTGATCTCACGTTGCAACATGTCCAAAGTATGTTAGACGAAGCTTCAGAATCCTTGCCTTCAAGGACCAGCCTGGCTTCACCCTCTCCAGGACAAACTTGTTTGTTATCCTAGCAGTCCATGGTATATTCAATACTCTTCTCCAGCACCACAGCTCAAAGGCATCAACTCTCCTGTCATCTCTAGTCATTGTCCAGCTCTCTGATGCATAGCAAGTAATTGGAAAGACCATGGCCTGTATCTGGCGCACCTTAGTCTCCATACTGACATTATTGCTCCTCAGTACTTTGGAGAAGTCTCTGACAGCAAACTTTCCCAATGCAATTCATCTTTTAATTTCCTGGCTGCTGGTACCAAGAGTGTTGATTGTAGAGCCAAGCAAACTGAAGCTGTTGACAGTCTCAATCTCTTCACCATTTATCATGATGCTGCCAGTTGGCCCAGTGGTGAGAATCTGTTTTCTTGATGTTGAGCTTAAATCCATATTGAAGGTTACAATCCTTGACCTTCTGCAGCAAGCACTTCAAGTCCTCCTCAGTTTTAGCAAGCAGGGTTGTGTCATCTGCATAATGTTTAACAATGATATTATAATTTTTAATGGTCATGGAATACTCCATTTTATAGTGTGTACATACTGTTAGATATCTAGGTCATTTTACATTTTTAAGTATTGTGAGTCATACTGTAATGAGTATTACGGTTAAATCTAAATGCTATTTTAATTATTTTCCTAAATTCCTAAAAGTAGAATTGTACCACCAGAAGTAGTATGTACTTGAAAGAAATGAGGGAGGGTTGTTTGGGGTTTGTTGTTGTTTTTATTATGATATGCATAAAGTACAACTTTAATTTAAAATTGCCATTACCAATATTTTTATTTAATTCTTGATTTTATAAAATCGTAATATCTAAAAACAAACTTATGCTATATTTAAGGGGTTTTTTTTAACTCTTCCACTTTGTAGCTTTATTTGTATGTAATTTAGCCATTTGAAAGAGACTTCTATGTCTCCAAAAACTTGGTTATAATGTTTGCATTTTTATCTGTTAGGATACAAGTGGTGAAAACACTGTAGTTCCTCCAGAAACATACGTGAAAGTAGCCGGCCATCTGAGATCTTTTCAGGTAAAGTCAGAATAAGTGCAGGTTAAAATATGTTTGCATCAAGCATTTTAATGGGTTTATGTCCATATTGATGATACTTAAGACCTAAGTAGTATTCATACTTAATGGGAGAATATTAAAGTGTTTTTCAGTATTCTTTTCCAAAGAAAAAACTTAAACACTAACAGATGGATAAAGACAAACTACAATTTTTGCCTACTGTGTCCAGCGGTAGAGTCCGTTCAATTTAGAAAAAAAGACACAGGATTTAAAGTCTGGAAATTAGATTGCTTGGTATTTTAGCCTTGGGCAGTTTTAATATCTAAGCCAGTTTTGTTTGTTTGATCTCTCATTATTAACTATTTTGTTTTTCTCTTAACTGTGTTTAGATTAACTTTGTTAATATTATGTCATGGTTATTTAATCTCATTGACAATGTATCAGAAAAGAGCCACATGTTTTGACCTGAAATTGTTGTGAATGTGCTTTTTATTTACATTTTTTTTTCTTTTCATTTAATAGAACAAAAAAAGTCTAGTGGCCTTTAAAATCATGCCCTTGGAGGATATGAATGAGTTCACCACACATATTCTGGAAGTGGTCAATGCACACATGATGTTGAACAAATATAACAGCCAGGTGAGTGCCTTCACTACAGTATTTTTCTTTCTTCTCCAGAAGAACATAAATGGACTGACTGCTTTTGTGCCTTCTTTGATTTCCTTGACATTTGAAGGTTGAGTCAAAAGGAAGACATTGGTCCCTGGAACATTTCCTTGATGCCCTCTGCTGTTCTATTTTATTCCAAATGAATTAATTGTATTTCTCTAAGAGTTGCTTCTTTAAGTGATCCACTGGCCAAGGTAGCTAGCTAATGAAGCCTCCAGCTATAGACTAAGTACAGGGTGAGCTCTTAACCTCCAGAACATCAGGCTGTATACAGGGGCAGGGAAAACCATCCAGATATTTGTGGCATGATGAAAAGTTGTGCACTATAATTTTATTTCTTGGTTCATACTGATGTTTCTCCACTCCATAACATTACTTCCAGTTTTGTGAATTCAGTCCAGCAGTTTCACCTAGAAACACAGTTTGTTGATTTTGTTAAAAAGTCTTCAGATGATTCTGGTGGCAAGGTGAAGGATTAGTGACAGACAGGAGCTCGATAAGCAATGAAGAATATCCTTGTATCTTGTCCTTTGTTAAGCACTGGGAAGTACATTCATTCATCCATTTGAACAATATTAATCGAGCTGACTCTATCAATCATTGTCTTGGGCCCTTGGATTATAGCAGTGAGCAAGATAAAATGCTTGCCCTTGAAGTTACATTGTCAAGGATAAACAGGCAATAAATCAGGGGAGAAACATCTGCCTTTAGTTATATGAAATCAACAATTCTGTTGACGAGGCAGTCCTGACTCATAGCATCCCTATTGGGTGTAGGAGAACTACCCGCCCCCGCCCCCCCCCCCCCCCC